GTGACACCTTCAAATTGTGGTGTTAGTGAAGAATACTGAATATGTGGTGAACTATCATAAGAATGAACAAAGCAGCTTAGAAGGAACACAAGCAGAATGCTCCTTAGAAGTGAAGGTGATAAGACTTCAGGTCATTTACTTTGGACATGTCATCAGGAAAGACCAAAAAGGACCTAATGATTGGTAAAGTAGAGGAGGGTCAGTAAAAACAGAGGGAACCCTCAGTGACGTGGGTTGGCACAATAGCCACAACAATGCACTCAAACATGCCAGTGATCAGGAAAACGGTGCAGGACTGTCTGTTGTACACAAGTCAGAGCTGGTGTGATGGCAGCAACAACAACCAGAGAGATGCCTAAAACAACTTGAAGCAAGGTTGAAAATGAATGGATAATGATATACAGACAAACCCTGTGAAGATGTGCTGTCAGTGAAAAATAAAGTGTAATTATTAGTGATTAGTTTCAGTATTATATTCAGCTCCATTCTCAAATAATGATAGGCCAAAGTTTTGGTTTTCTTTGGGGCTTGGGGAGAGGGAGGACCTAGAGGAGTGACAAAGCCGGTTGGAAAATAACAGGCTCAGGATACAAAGAACAGAAGATGGGTCCCTAGTCCCCAGTGGTGACTGGTCCAAGCGCCCTAGTGTAGACAGACCAAACATTTGCCAAAGTGAGTGTCAGTGAACTGGGAGTTCCTTGAAATTGCTGGAGCTGGGCTGTCAACCACACGATCGAGTCATCCTATCAAAGTCAAAGTGAAAAGCAAATCACTGTTGGGACCAGGATAAATGTGGATCATATACTGCAATTCCTGGAACTAGTTATCCAGGCTCATTACCCTTGCCATGACATGAGCCTGCATTTTGTGCAATTTAAGTTATTGGATCCTATTTAACATTTTGTAGCAGAGTTTTGTTGTACCTGGCAAGTGTTTGCCAAAAGTAATACAAAGTTCAGGATATATATAACTTTCAGGAAACAGGTGATAAACATCAACAGAGGGAAAATGAGAGGCTTTGTATATATTTGAAGAAGGAGCCAGATTACCATAGGAGTTTATGGCAAGTTAAAGAAACATGGTTAAAAATCCCTGCAGGTGGATGGACACTGGGAGGAGGTAACTATGGGGAGGAAGTGGGAGGGGAGCTGCTGCATTGTAAATTTTGGTCAATGACATGAGACAAAGTATATGTGAACTGCTGTATGAAAAGTGAATTTACTCTGTAAATCTTCACCCAAATCCTAAAAAAAAAAAAAAAAAAAATCCCTGCAGGTGACCGAGGGCAGGAAAAGTTTAGTCAATATCTAACAAGCTTAGTTCTTGCTGGCGTTCAGAAGTAGATAGTGGCTTGGAGCCTGTACATGATGGAACCAAAGAGACTTAAACTATTGGAAACAAGATAGCTTGTCTAGATCACCCTTTATATAACATTCTAATTTGTAAAGGTAGGTGTCCAGGTTGCTTTATTTCCAGACCAGTTCTTTTCTTCCCACATCATGCCTTCAACTGTCCCTCCATTTTCTGTAGCTACGTCAGTTCAGCTCTCTTTCCATTTTATGGGATGGTTTACATTTTCTCTTTTGGGAGGCCAACCATTCTTTGATGACCAGAGATACCACAAAAAAACAAAACAAAACAAAACAAAAAACAAACCCAAACTCACTGCCGTGGAGTGGGATCCAACTCATAGAGACCCCTCCTTGGGTTTCTGAGGCTGTATCTCTACGGAAGTAGATTGCCCAATCTTCCTTCCAAGGAGTGACTGGTGGGTTTGAACCACCAGCCTCCTGGTTAGCAGTCACATGCCTTAGGCACTACACCACCAGAGCTGGAACACAAGCAATTTTGGACATAGTTCCTACATAGTTTCAATGACAACAGTTGTTAAGGATCTACTACTTTACATTAGGTCTGCAAGTTTTTGCAAATCCTTTTGACTGGCTTTATATTTTTGTATTAGGAGGAATGAGTCCCTACTTGGAGTTAAAAAAATGAAAATTAAGGACAATACTTTGTGTAAAAAGTCAAGCAAATCTGTTAAGAAATTCAAAGCTGTGGTAATAGAGATTGGAAAAGTAAGTTTCATATGACTGTCAAATTTTAAGCTCATAAATTAAGAAATTCATATATATCTAGAGATGATTTAACTGCATGGTAATTTATTATAATATGAAAAAGAAGGAAATAAAAACAAGCATAAATTTATCATTAAACAGTACTTTCAATTCTTAAGTTATTCTATGGCTATTTTTATAATCATATATTTTTTGTTTTATACAAGTACTTCTGTTACGTTTCATGGTAATTTTAATTGAGGGGAATAAAGAAACCACTGTATTTCAAAGTCATATGATAAGCATTATAGTATGAATATATAGTATTGTGTTCAATGTTTAAATTCAGTTTGTAACATTTTTGTTATCTCCTCTATTAAGGTTACAGATGTGGCACCAAGAAAAAAACATAAAAGAAGGGAAACTCTGAGAGAATTTTTTTCCAAAAATCCAAATATTTCTGAAATGTCAGAACAGGACAGGTAATACTTAATTGACTCAACAAATGTTTACTTGAAGGTGACTATGTATTGGGCATTATTTGGGGCATGAAGGATACAATGGTGGACTAGACAGACAAAGATCAGTGCTGTCAAGGAGCTTACTTATAGATGAAGGGAACACAGTAAACAAGTAAACACATAAATAAATGAGATAATTCAAAATTAATTTAAAATTATGATGCATTTTATGAATAAATGAACAGGATAATATGCTGTAGAGTAATTGGCCTGGGGGGGTAGGAGTGGCAGCAGTTTGGAGAGGGTGGTCAGTAGACCAAATTGGTCAATTGTTCTTGATTATTGGTGGGCCTTATGTTCTTGATCATACATTTTAAGCCTATTTATCATGGTCATGGGGTGGTACAAAAGGATAAGCACTTGGCTGCTAACCGAAAGGTTGGCATTTTCAGTCTGTCAAAGGTACCTGAGAAGCAAGGGCTGGCAATCTACTTCCAAAAAATTAGCCACTGAAAACCCTGTGGAGCACAGTTCTACCCTGACATGAACAGAGTCCCACTGAGTCAGGATCAACTTGACAGCTGTTTTTTGATTTACTATTGTTGTAGTGATTTTGAGGCAGTTTGAGGCTGATGGAGAAAAGACGTACGACCATGAGGTAGTATTGCACAACAAGCTATTTGTGTATTTATTTTAAAATTTAACAAGTAATCTATAAAGCAGATATCCTCTTTATTGTATATTACCTTCCCCTTAACCCCTTAATTGACAAAGTTAAGTATTTGTTGATCCTCTAATTAATGGCTTACCCTCCCATCCCCTCGCACCCTTGGTAACCATCAAAGAATATTACTTTTTGTGTGCAAATTTTGTATTGACTTTTTACAATAGTGGTCTCATACAATATTTGTCCTTTTGTGATTGACTAGTTTCACTCAGCTAATGTCCTCTAGGTTCATCCATGTTACAAGGTATTTCATAGATTCATCACTGTTCTTTAATGTGACATAGTATTCCATCATGTATATGCACCGTAAGTTGTTTATCCATTCATCCTTTGATGGTTATTTAGGTTATTTACATCTTTTTACTCTTGTAAATAAGGCTGAACATGGCTGTGCATAAATCTATTCATGTCGTGGCTCTTATTTCTCTAGGATATACCTAGTACTGGGATTGCTGGATCATATGGTGTTTCTATTTCCAGCTTTTCAAGAAAGTGCTGTACCTTACTTTGCATAGACTTTTTTCCTACTTGTAAATCTTCTCCTGATGAAATTGAGCATTCTTTAGCTCTGTTATATTAAAATTTGCATCATCAAGCTAAAAAATTAATAAAATAATTAAAAAATAAGAAAAAACCCCAAAACCTTGGATTAAAAGGAAATCACTAACAGCATACAAATATTTGTCACTGAATGATAGTATGAATACTACATGTCAAAAGGAAATTTTCTCCCTTTCTTTCTCAAAATGTCTACTTCTCTGATGCAACAATGTCTGTTTATCTGCTTTCTGTCCTTCCTTCCTGCTTTTCTTTCTCTCTTTGTTCTGTTTGTGTCTTTATGTATTTTGATTCGGATTCAGACACAGTATCCATATAAGTGAAGAAAGTACTTAACTTACCAACTGGGATCTATTTCCTTTTTCCCTCCAGCATAAATGAGTTAAAACAGTACTGACCAATGGAACAGTAATTTTGTGAGCAGTAATATAAAGAGACAAACAAAAAAATCCATAAAGTATCTTGAAGAAATGAAGTTATGCTATGTGAATAACTATGTCACTATAAAAATAGTTGACCATTTGCCAATTCAACTTTTGACAAGAGTACAACTTATTGACAGCAATTGCAATCATCACTGTGCAACGCTACACTTAATCAATGTGATTTTTCCATCACTGTACAACAATGTCAAAAAACACACAAGAGTAGCTGCCAAGGCTACTTTTTACAACCAAACTCTCATGGATTTGATTCCCTGATTTGGAGGTTTAGGGTCATGGTTTTGTGGAACATCCCAGTTAATTGGATTAATAATGTGTTTAGTGCTTGTTTTGGTTACCTCTAGTGCTGCTCTAACAGAAATACCCATAAATGGGATGGCTTGAATAAGAGTTAATTCTCTTACAGTTTAGGAGGAAGTCTGAGTTTGAAGTGCCAGGATCTAGGGGCTGGGTGAAAGCCCCTCACCCATGGGCTTCGGCTCAGCCTCTTGCTCCCAGCCCACTGAAGTTGGAGGCTCTCTCTTCACTCAGGCAGCTGCTGGCTGCTGAGGCCAGCAAACCCAAGGTTGACAAGTGAAAAGGCACAGTCCTGATATTACCAAACCACACAGCCACACAGCAGGCCCCTGATTCAAGTCCAGAGATAGTCCCAAGACTGGCAGGAAACATGGCAGGCTGCTAAATGAGACTTGGCTACATGCAGGGTCCAAGTGTGCCACAAAACTGGAGACCTTCCTCCAAGTTGCTTCTTAGATACTGGAAGCAGACCACATCCCTAAAGCTGCTCACGGTAGATTCCACCATGGAGCCGATCACCAGTCTCATCATGGCTGCCCAGCCACTGAAAACCAGGCCCAGCCAAGTTGACACACAAGCTTAACTACCACAGTGCTGTTCTACCTCCTAGTTTGTTGCACAGTGCCTGGGGTCTTAAAAGTTTGCAGATGGCCATCCAGGGCACAGCAGTTAGACTTTATTTGCCTGGAGCAACAGAGGAGGGTAGGAGAATCAGGAATAGGAGGAGAATGTGGATGTGTGGCTAATTGCCTGCATGAACAACTGCCTCTTTTGCCATGAGACCAGAAGAACTGGGTGGTGTCTGGCTACCATTACTGAACATTATGATCAAAGATTCCGTAGAAGCATCCTGACCAAAAGGGGGAAAATGAAGAACATAATTTCAAATTCTTATGGACTCTAGATTTTCTGGAGTCATGGAGGTTGGATGAACCCCTGAAACTATTGCCCTGTGATAATCTTTAAACCTTAAATGAAAAAATTTCCTTGGAGTCTTCTTAAAACCAAACAATAGTTTAGCTTAACTAGTGAAGAAGGTCTGCCTTGAGCCCTGTGCTGTTTCAAGGTCTATCTATATGGGATCAAATTGATGACAGCAACTTGAAAGATTGGATAGGAACCTTAGAGGGCTGTGGTTTATGTTAGTGGTGGAGGAATAACTCAGAGAAGGAGTGTGAGAGTGGTTGCACAATGAAGAAATGTAACCAATGTCACCAAATGGTACATGGAGAAATTACTGAATTGGTGTATGTTTTGTTCTGTATATTCTCCACAACAACATAAATAAAATAAGAAATCATGGAACTACTTTGAGATTTTGATAGGAATGATTTTTAAAAACTGAATTTGCTATACTTAAAGTCTGAACTATTAGCTCAAATTTGAATGAGTTTTCTCCAGATCATATTGAGTATGTATTCACCAAATTATTTTATAAACCCATTGCCATCAAGTTGATTCTGACTCATAGTGACCCTGTAGGACAAAGCAGAACTGTAATCTTTAATGAAGATTATAAAGATTTCACCTTCCACCTTTCCATAATCTTTACGGAAGGATGTAATCTTTACAGAAGCATCTGCTGCATCTTTCTCCCATGGAGCGGCTGGTGCTTTAGAACCACTGATCTTTCAGTTAACAGCTGAGCACTTAACACTGTGCCACCAGGCCTCCTGCATTTCATCTACAGTTGACCAATATTTTATTTTCTTCATAGTCTAGCTAATGTTAGAAAAAATTTTGTTCCTTTTTTTTCCTTAAGGAATAATACAGAGAAGTGATTTTCTTGTTTAATATTGAAATTAGTTGATGAATGTGAACATTACGTTATAATTTAGTTGTCTAAAATCAGTGCCCTTTGGTTATGAGAAAGTAAAGTTCCATTGCAGCTTAGGAAACACATTAGAGAGAGTTGAAGGCAATACATAGTGTCTCCATCCCTAGTGTCTACCCTTGTGCCTTCTTTACCTCCCAATTTCACATTTTTGTTGTTGTTGTTGTTATGTGCTGTTGAGTTGGACCCAACTCATAGCGACTCCTCCTTGGGTTTCCAAGGCAGTATCACTGCGCAAGTAGATTGCCCCATCTTCCTTCCGAAGAGTGGCTGGGAGGTTTGAACCACCAGCTTTCTGGTTAGCAGTCAAGTGCCTTAGGCACTATGCTACCAGAGCTCCCTTCACATTTTTAGCACTAAGGAAATGATAAATAAGCCAGGCAGATTTGCACTTAGCCAAGTGACTTCTTGATCCACTTTGTGTAAATTGGAATCATTCTTCTTTATTAAGTATCTGAAACTTTGTATAATTGCAAAACTTCTTTCTGTCTTGGTAGAAATAAGAGACCTGATGTTAGAAAAGTAGCCTATCGATTCCTTGTGGATAGTATGAACCCTCTAATATTAAATTATGTTAAAAGAAAGAGGTTCCATCAAATATTTCTTGAGGAGATGCCCTGGAGATCTCAGATGAACCTGTATCTGGCAAATGCACACTTCAACATGCTTTTACTAAAGCTAGGGGAGCGTACGAAGATGAAATTTGGTACTTCACAGGCCATGGTCAGGTATGGTACATTATCAATGCATAACAATTTTTTAATGCCATGAACATAGATTGTATTTGTATGTGCAAGTCTCTAATGCTGATAATAACCCAAAAGAGGTTTGGAGAATGCCTCTGTCTTTATACTGGCCATTGGTATATTTCCTAATTTCTTATCTCAGAATCTTAAGTGTTTATGAAGTACTAATTTGCATAAATCTTGATTATGTTTATTAATATAGCTTTCAGTGCAAGAATAAAGTATAATTCCAACAGAAATATAATATGAATTGTATAATAACTTTAGGTATTAGTAGATATCAGGCAAAACTTGATTTCATTTATATTTTATGCTCCATAAATAGAGATCATATTTTTCATACAATGTCAACTTTCTATCATTAATTCAACAAATAGTTTTGAGCTCTTATTAGTGTCTTTGGCTGAGTGCTGTGGGAGATACAAACCATAGAAGGTAAGTACATAATATGGAATGCTTCATAACTTATTAAGGAGACCTGCTGGTGCAATAGTTAAGTGCTCAGCTGCTAACCAAAATGTGAGCAGTTCGAACCCACCAGTGGCCCTGTGGGAGAAAAGACTGGCAGTGTGCTCTTGTAAAGGTCACAGCCTAGGAAACCCTATGGGGCAGTTTTACACAGCCTGATACGGTTGCTATGAGTCTGAGTTGACTCAAAAGCATGCAGCAGTATACAACCATTAAGAAGATAGAGTATCATTCATTCAAAAACCAGTTGTAGAATACCTTTTAGATGGAACTGTGTGCAGTGGGCATTGTATTCATTTCCTATGGCTGTTGTAACAGAGTACCACGAACTGGGTGGCTTAAAACAATAGAAATTTATTCTCTCACAGTTTTGAAGGACAGAGGTCTGCGTTTGGGTTGCTGGCTGGTTTCTTTCCAGGAAAGAATCCTTCCTTGCCTCTTCTAGATTTTGGTGGTTGCCTCTAATCCTTGGCATTTCTTGCTTCAGAGATGCAGCACTCTGATCCTTGTATCTGTTGTCACATGGCCTTCTTCCCTGTGTGTCTGTTTAGCCAAATCTCCCTCTCTTTTCTTTCATAAAGACACCAGTCACTGGATTAGGGTCCACTTTAATCTAGTCTGACCTCATTTTAACTTGATTACATCTGCAAAGACTATTTCCAAACAAGGTCGAATTCACAAATATGGGGGTTTAGACTTCAATGTGTCTTTTTAGGGGACATAACTCATAACAGGTATACAAAGATGAACAATATATACTAGACTATATTCATACAGACTCTAGACCGCTGGTAGGGCAGGTCACAAATGTTCACAAATAACTATAGTAGTAAAAAGTGAAGTGCACATGAAGTTGTCTTTTTTCTTGGCAGGAAGGCTTTCGTGGCTAAGAAGAAGGAACAGTTTTATAGAGAGGGGGCACTTGGTCTGGGTCTTGATGGATTGGCAAGATTTAGAGATGTATGTTGTTGTTAGTTGCTGTCGGATTGGTTCTGACTCTGTGTACTATATATAGGACAAAACACTGTCCAGTCCTATATTATCCTCACAATTGTTGTTATGCTTGAAGCCATCCTTGCAGACACTGTGCCAATCCATCTCATTGAAGGTCTTCTGTTTTTTCCTTGACCCTCTACTTTACCAAGCATGATATCCTTCTCCAGGGTCTAGTCCCTTCTGATAACATGAGCAAAGTACAAGAGACGAAGTCTGCCTAGTATTCTTGCTTGTAAGGAGTATTCTAGCTGTATTCCTTCCAAGATAGATTTGTTCATTCTCTGACAGTCCATGATATTTTCAATATTCTTAGCTAAGACCACAGTTCAAATGCATCAATTCTTCTTCTGTCTTCCTTATTCATCGTCTAGCTTTCACATGCAGGTGAGGCTGTTGAAGAGACATGGTCAGGCTATACCTGACCATGGCCTGTGAAGTACCAAATTTCATCTTCGTACACTCCCCTAGCTTTAGTAAAAGCACGTTGAAGTGTGCATTTGCCAGATACAGGTTCATCTGAGATCTCCAGGGCATCTCCTCAAGAAATATTTGATGGAACCACTTTCACATGCAGGTGAGGCTATTGTGGGTCAGGCACACCTTAGTCTTCAAAGTGTCACCTTTGCTGTTTAACACTTTAAGGGAGGTCTTTTGCAGCAGATTTGTCTAGTGCAATATATCCTTTGTGTTTTTTTTTTGACTGCTCCTTCCATGGATGTTGATTATCCAGGTGAACTGAAACCCTTGACAACTTCAATCTTTTCTCCTTTTATCGTGATGTGGTTTATTGGACCATTTGTGAGGATTTTTGTTTTATTTATGTTGGGGTGTAATCCTTACTGTAGGTTGTAATCGTTGATCTTCATCAGTAAGTGCTTCAAGTCATCTTCACTTTTGGCAAGCCAAGTTGTGTCATCTGCATATTGCAGGTTGTTAATGAGTCTTCCTCCATTCCTGAGGCAACCTCCTTCTTCATATTCTCCAGCTTCTCAGATTATTTGCTCAGCATGCAGATTGAATAAGAATTGTGAAAGGATATGAGCCTGGCGCACACCTTTCCTGATTTTAAACTGTGCAGTATCCCCTTGCCTGACCAACAGAGAAGGCTTTTGGCAGAGTGACCCACTTATGGGGCCATGCCAGGAACAGTGATTTAGACCAGAGTGGTGTCCTTACTGAAAATGGAGTTTTCTCTGAGCTTCCTTCCATAGATACATGACCATTCCTGCATGATTACTTGGCAACATAATAAACAGTGGTTAAATTTGTGTCAGGATAACTTGGGACTAAATTTGATTTTATTAAAACTGGTATGCATACTAACTATATATGTTTGTGGTTTTGTGGAAGTTTATTTACTGCTTAGGCCTTCACATTGATTGTGGACACATTGTTCTATATAGTAGAACATCTTCACTGAGCTGTGTTTAAATCAAGTAGCTGTTAGTAAACATAAATAATTATTCTTTCAGTGCTCATAGAGTGAATATAGATCTTTTCATTCCTATTTTCAAGGGCCCGAGCAAGGAAATAGATGTTGATGTTAAAATTTCTCAGACCAAAGTGACATTTTATAATTATAAAAGTTAATTGGAAAATGTTTGGCTTTGGACAAATGCCAAAATACTTTGTGATCCAAAATTTGTGAGCACTAATTCATAAATGTTTTATAACTAAAAGTAGATTGTATTTGACAGGTTTAACTCAATTTTGCTTATATTGTTATTTTAATATGATTTTTTTTTTTTTTCTGTCCCCTTGTAGTTTCCGGTCATTTGATCCTAATATGTTCTCATTATATAATTCAGGAACAGTATTACCAACAGGAAAATTTGTGGTAGATAGTTATAAAGCAATGCTTGATTTCATTCTCACAGCTAAAAAAAGAAGGATCAACCTACCATCAGGTAAAGTAAATATGTTTATATACTATAAAATTGTGTCTAGATTTTTATTCACAAATGAAATCCAACACACACACACAAACAGACATACGGAGGTACACACACCATTTTCCAGAGACTCAGAAATTCAGTTGAGTTGTGATACTTTATACGAGAAATTTGTTTTTGTAGTCTCATCTGTATGTTTGGAACTATCTATGTTGTGTTGTGACCTAAAGCCATTTGGCTGTTCAGCCAATATAATGTGTTTTTTTTTTGTTAAATATTGGTAGCCTCCAGTGGTTCAAGATAGGTTAGGCCTTGCTACCGTGTATTATGTTTTAGTGGAAACAAGTCTCAGAACAAATTCAATCAAACATATTAATGCCAATAGGCACAAAAGCAGTCTCCCAACCTATTCTGGATTCAGGGCAGTCTCATTCTTACCTTAGGATCTCCAACAGGCACCTTCCATGAAAACTCACTCCAATATGCTGATGGCAGGGCCAAGCAGTGTTGTTACCTGTTTGGTAACAGGGACTTCTATGAAGTAGAGGGATGTGGTCAAAGAGAACTCTAGATCTGGGCTGCTGCAATGATAAATTTCATCTGCTGGACTTGACTGATTGTTATACCCATTCCTGCAAAGATGATGGAGCCTGTATACTTCTTAACCGTATTCATCTCTTAGGGCTGCTGTAGCAAAATGCTACAGACTAAGTGGCTTATAAGAACAGAATTTGTTATCTGCAGTTCTGGAGTCTAGAAGTCCAAATGAACGAGTCGGCTGGGCCATGTTCCCTTCAAAGTTTCTAGGAGAAGAAACTTTCTTGCCTCTCCCAGCTTCCAGTAGCCACAGGTACTCCTTGGTTTGTAGATGCACCATCTCATGGCCGTCTTCTCCCTGTGTGTGTCTCTGTGTATCTTCTCCACCACTTAGGTTGGATTAGGACTTCTACTTCAGTATGACCTCATGTTAATTTAACTGATAACATCTTTTAAGATACCCTATTTCCAAACAAGTTGACATTCACAGGTACCAGGAAATAGGACATATTCAACACATTCTTTTGAAGAACACAATTTAAGTCCTAACATTAACCAATCACTTACCTTGAATATCACTTATTTTACAAATAAAAATATTTCTAATATCATCATGCTTTTTCAAAACCTCTTATTTAGGTTGTTAATAATGGCAATGTAAGTACTATATAACTTATGTCTAATCAGAGTATTTCATATGCTAGTTAACTGCCTCTGGAGGGTTGATTCACATTTGAGGTATGTTATATGCTTCTTTCTTTTTGTAGGGTATATGTTAGGTATAACTGTATCTACATGTCATGTGTGTATATTGAAGTATTTGAAAGTAAATTCCGTAGATTTTGAAAGAGTCTGATTTTGGCATATGTTTTTAAAAAACTGACTCCCTACTTATGACCTACCATGAGATTTGCAATAGAATATTCTACTGTTGAGATTTACCACCTAATGCAGGGTTCTAAGAGAAGGTTTTTGGGAAGGGAGGTGCTCTGTGCTTTTATGCCTTACCAGTGGGGGAGTGAGTGACTAGGGCCGCTCTATGGCACAAGTCCAAAGGTTGCCATGCACTTTCCATTTCATGTGTCCTGGGAGTGGCCTGTACAGGGCAAATTAAGAAGCTTGGAAACCATGTCCGTTCCTGCTTCTGCATTAGTTTGCCATCTTCCTTGCCTGGGATAGGAGCTCTGGTGGCATAGTGTCTAAGGCACTTGATTGTTAACCAGAAGGCTGGCAGTTCAAACCCACCAGCCACTCCTCGGAATGCAGGTTGGGCAATCTACTTCTGTAGTGATACCACCTTGGAAACCCAAGGAGGAGTCACTATGAGTCAGGTCTGACTCCATGGCAGTGAGTTAGTTAGAGTTTGCCTGGGATGTTCTTCTCTCTTCTCTTCCCGCAAGCTGAGTTTTGCCCCTTCTTTGAGAACCAACCTAAGTGCCTTTTTTTCTAGCAGCTTTTCCTGGTTCATTGAATCCATGAGAATCCTGTCATTTCTCCACACTTAGTTAGCATGCATTTTCTGAATTGCTTATTTGACATATATCACCTTTATTATATTTTCTGGAACTTAATGCTCTGTTTTCAATAATGGTGCATCTTATTTTTGTATTGTAGATGCTGATGAATTTTCTGCGTTTATAAACTCCAAAATGGGTGACAAAGATATTGCCAAGACACAAACAAGTTCTGACTCAGACTTTCAATCAGTTCATAGTTTTAAGGAAAAGGACCGAACCACAAATTTGAGCCTATTGGACCATTTTACAAAAATCTTTTTATATTGCAGGAGAGCCATGGTAATGTGGTCATTTTGATTTGCTAATCCTATACGCTCGGGCATGTAAAACATATTTATGTATGTATGTGCTATATGTGATTTTGATTTTGACTCTGAGACACCATCTTGGTGGATTTTGCCTCAGGCATCTTTGAGGTTTGCCTGCCATGGTACTGAGTCTCATGCAGT